CTCAATAGGACACCCATAGCACAAAAGTTAATAACTAGAATCAACAAATGGGACTTACTCAAACTAAAAAGTTTTTTCTCAGCAAAAGAAACAATAAGAGAGGTAAATAGGGAGCCTACATCCTGGGAACAAATCTTTACTCCTCACACTTCAGATAGAGCCCTAATATCCAGAGTATACAAAGAACTCAAAAAATTAGACAATAAAATAACAAACAACCCAATCAACAAATGGACCAAGGACCTGAACAGACACTTCTCAGAGGAGGACATACAATCAATCAACAAGTACATGAAAAAATGCTCACCATCTCTAGCAGTCAGAGAAATGCAAATCAAAACCACCCTAAGATACCATCTCACTCCAGTAAGATTGGCAGCCATTATGAAGTCAAACAACAACAAGTGCTGGCGAGGATGTGGGGAAAAGGGTACACTTGTACATTGCTGGTGGGACTGCAGATTGGTGCAGCCAATTTGGAAAGCAGTATGGAGATTTCTTGGAAAGCTGGGAATGGAGCCACCATTTGACCCAGCTATTCCCCTTCTCGGTCTATTCCCTAAAGACCTAAAAAGAGCATGCTACAGGGACACTGCTACATCGATGTTCATAGCAGCACAATTCACAATAGCAAGACTGTGGAACCAACCTAGATGCCCTTCAATAGACGAATGGATAAAAAAAATGTGGCATTTATACACAATGGAGTATTACTCTGCATTAAAAAATGACAAAATCATAGAATTTGCAGGGAAATGGATGGCATTAGAGCAGATTATGCTAAGTGAAGCTAGCCTATCCCTAAAAAACAAATGCCAAATGTCTTCTTTGATATAAGGAGAGTAACTAAGAACAGAGTAGGGTTGAAGAGCATGAGAAGAAGATTAACATTAAACAGGGATGAGAGGTGGGAGGGAAAGGGAGAGAGAAGGGAAATTGCATGGAAATGGACGGAGACCCTCAGGGTTATACAAAAGTACATACAAGAGGAAGTGAGGGGAAAGGGAAAAATAATACAAGGGGGACAAATGAATGACAGTAGAGGGGGCAGAGAGAGAAGAGGGGAGGGGAGGGGAGGGGAGGGGGGATAGTAGAGGATAGGAAAGGCAGCAGAACACAACAGACACTAGTATGGCAATATGTAAATCAATGGATGTGTAACTGATGTGATTCTGCAATCTGTATATGGGGTAAAAATGGGAGCTCATAACCCACTTGAATCAAAGGGTGAAATATGATATATCAAGAATTATGTAATGTTTTGAATAACCAACAATAAAAAATTAAAAAAAAAAGAAGTATGATTTCTGTCATAGGACGGGAGCAGTGAAAAAATGATGTTAAAATGAAATCCTTGTAACTGGAAAGATTGTGACCTACCTCAGAAACCAGCATACTGTCAAAAGTAAAGTACATTTACATTTTCACGAATTTCTAAGAGCTTCCAATACAGCTGCTACCAAGCCCATGGGTGTATTTCATTTTTCTTTGTTTTTTTTTTCTCAGTGATATTGGGGGTTGAAACTAAGGCCTCACATATGCTAAGTGAGTACACCCCCACCCATCATTTTTCATATCAGGTAACTCCTGTCCCCTTGCCAGGCCAACCTCAAGGCTTAACAACTTATTTTGTAGGCATTTATTAAAACAGTGTTTCCTTTTCTCATCTATTGGTTCAATTTTATTTTATTGAATGCCTGCTTAGTCACAGAGATACAGAAATGATAAAACTAAAATGATATTTTAGCTAAAATTATGGCTAAATTTTAGGGGTGAAGATAAGCAGATTGGGCAAAGCATAGGAAGAGATGGGGAGAGCAGAAAGAATCCTCCCTGTTGCAGATGTCACAGTGGTGACAGGAGGGCATGGGTCACCTGCCCAGGCTGCTGGTCCACACATGATGAACACTGGGAATACTGAGCTCTCTTTTATTCACTCAGTTTAACAAAACAGAAAGGCATCTGCCATTTCACCAAGATTTTATTAAGTTCACTTAAATAAGTTTTGTCAGTACTTGGAAAATTCCCTAAACCAGTTGAGTAAATGAGACCTTCATGAAAAGAGCTCTGATTTCCATTGCTGGATAAAACATAATTTGTGTGAAATATACATGTGTGAGTGACATATGTATTGCCTGTATATTAATAGTGCTCTTTTAGTTTGTGTTTGGATGATTACAAAGAACAATTTAAAATCCAGCTCTTAAAAAATATACCTTCTCTCGCTTTTTTCCTCCTCATCTTTCCCTTTTTTGCTCTCAGGATGATTTTATCTGTCCCATAGAGGATGTAATGGCTAAGAGGTAATAAGAAATGGAAATTATATACACAAAAGGATAATGCCGCCCAAGTTACTTTTTATTACAGTTAGCTATTTGGAAATTGTAGTGCATTTTCCCATTGCAACAAAGTTATCCCTGGCTCACTTCCCAGGCCAACCCACAAAAGCTTATTTAATCTATAATGTCTGTGTAGTATAGTACTGTGCTAATTGTACTATAGAATCCAGCCACCATCCTAAGTTTCCCATGGATAAATGCATTTCAAGTTAAAATTAGTATTCCAGGAAACACATTGTTTCTTGCTTCCCTGAGGCGATGGTGGCTGCCTGTCCCCAATTTTGCCCACTTCTTCCTTCCCACCACCACCATGGTCGTCACCGCTGATGTGCACAGGGTCTTGTACCATTGGTGTTTTCTCATCTGAACTAGAGGGAGGACTTTCAGCCTGAGATCATGGCTCAGGGGGTCGGGGGCAGAAAAGTCCAGAAGACCAAGAGCTGAAGCGATAGAAGAGGGGCAGTGGCTTCAGTGAATCAGACGGGGAGAAGTCGGGAGCCTGTATCTTTTTGCTAGTGGGTTCCCTGAGTGGATATATATTCTAGACACCCAAGGAACCATCCATTCCTTTCACTGAAAACCAAGGACTGAGTAGGATCCTTGAACCATTGGCACCCTTAAATATCACCCTGTGACCAAGCAGTATGATCATATGTGGCTCCGTGTGTCTTCCTATGAGAGAGGACTGTGGTTGTAGGTGCTGAGATTGACATCATGAGCACAATGTTTGCCATAGATGCCAGCACATCTGCTAGAACCCAAGGTGATATAAGCATGACTAATTTTTTACTGAGTCTCAAAGAAAATATCCATGAACCATTGAGATGCAAAAAGTGCTTAGGAAAAATTCCAACTCCTGAGCCACATGGCCTTTGTAACGTGAGGGCAATGCACAAGAGCTAAGAAAACATATGAAATTATATGGCTCCACTCTGGCTCCATCTTTAGTCAAGACCCTATATAAATATGAACATCCCACACCAATGGGTTGCTGTCTGTCCCTATGGAGATAGCCTGTGTTCTCCCTTGAACGTGTATTCCTTGCTTTATCCCCAAAATGCCTCTTTTGAGATTGCTGCTATTCTCCTTGAATGTGTATCTACTTTCTGAATAGGCCTCTGTCTCTTCCTTTAAAATAAATAAGTAAACACTATATCTTAGTTTTTATAGTTACTTCCTATTAATAGTAAGGAATGCTGGTTTTCCATTTATAATACTAATGTAAATTATGATACCAATGCAAATTTCCTGTTAAAATATTCTTACTTAAGCCAAAAGTGAATTGATTTAAAGAAGAAAACTAAATTAGGGCAGGGGAAGTACACGTGTGTGAGAGACTGCTGTTTAGTGTACTGTTCTAGTAATGTGATTTGTGTCAAGTAGGAAAAAGCAGGTTATAAACAGTACAGACTGCAATTCCATTTTTAAAAACACACAAAGTATATTTAAACATATAGGACACAGTATTTAAGAAGTTTTTCAAAATTTTTTCTCTTCTTGTTTGTATTTTCTCTGCACTGGCAATGTATTCTTTCTGCAATAAAAAAATGTAACTAAAAGGCATATGTAACTTTCCATTTTCCCCTGTCTTCCTTCCCCAACTCCTCAGCTAGATGCTATCTTCTTTCCTGTCTTCTTCAATAAGGAAATTGGGTAACTCCTGACATCTTTGCTTTTTGAACGAAAGTTTAAATCTTTTCTTTTTTCCAACTTAAGAGACTAGTAGATTTTGTTCAGCTGAGAAAGTAAAAACTGCCTTTCAAATTATTATCAAATGGTTCTTCATGTCATAAACTTTATGCTGGCTCTTAAGACCTAGCTCTTACTATACTGAAGTACCACAAGACAGGAAAGACAATCCTCCTATGATTGTCTAAGATCACTGAATCAGTCCCTTTAGGACAGCCACTAAAATAAGAGCTGGAAGTCCTGCTTCTCTTCCCTTGGCTTGATTAAGGCTCTGGGTTGCGTTAGCTTAAGCAATGCCTCTCAGGGTCAGATATTCAGATTCTAGATGATTTAATTAGCTCAGGGACTCAGGATTTGGAGTAACTGCCTAAAGAAGTTTATTAGAGGTGCAACTAACGTCAGTTTTGCTTCTGTGCATAGGTGGCCAATCCTCTCAGTTTTCCCAGGATATTTCTGGTTTAACATTGAAAGCCCTATATCCTGGGCATCCCCTCAGTCCTGAGCAAAGAGGGGCAGTTGGCCCTCCTACTTATAAAACTTTATGCCAACGCAGTGGTATTGGCAACATGGAGGGATATAAAAACTGTGCAAATAATTTTCTTCACCAAATTCTAGGAAAGGTTATTAGATATTTAATATCATAAACATGTCACCTTTCTAGTAAAATATAATGTTAAGTAAAAATGTAGGCACTGGGGTTATAGCACAGTGGTAGAAGGCTTGCCTGGCATGCACAAGGCCTTGGGTTTGATCCCTAGCCCCACAAAAATAAAAAAGAAATACATGAAAATTGTTAGCACCAGATGTTCTGAAACAACTACCCCCAAAGTTGCTGCAATATCTTTCCCACCTGTTCCAAAGACTATCAGTCCTCATATGTTAGCTACTGTAGGTTAAGGAGGGGGAAAAAAAACCTGTTCTCATTACACTTACCATCTTTTTTCACATGTGCAATTTAAATCATTTCTACAGAGAAAAGGCAAACCTTGCTGTCACCCTCTGCAATGACAAGGAAGAGATCATGGCCCAGGCCACCTTCTTGGACTATCCCAACTGGAATGTTTCCAAGCAGGATGACTGGGTGTCAGTGTTCCGGGAGCTCGACAGCGAAATCCCATGCACAGTAAGAAATCATGCACTATGCTTATTTGAACAGCCTTAACTTGGAAGGGAGGGCCTGTTTACAATGTTATTATTTTGGATTTTGGACTTAAAGGCTCAAAACTTACATAGAAAGTATATGACATCATGTCAGTTAAAAATGAAGTAAACTGGTAGGGGGAAAAAGTCATAGGAAATGGTAGGTGATAGCCAGTCAGCAAGCTGCTGGCACAGACCAGCTCATGTTCCACAAAGAGGACTGGAAGCAAGGAATTAGTGAAAGTGTGGGATGTGTGCGTCCAGGTCTCATGTTTTTCTCTGCATCATTGTCTGCGCTCTTTGATATGCTACAAGGGCCCGTGCCCGTGTCACCTACAGTTGCCCTTGTAATGGTCACAAGAGAGCCTGAGGCTTATGTCACACTATAATTTTTAAAGTGTCCTCATGAACTCTGATTCATTTGATGTCTTTTACCTAAGGGCACATGACATTTGTCAGCTCAAAGGACTTAGGTCAATGGTTCTCAGAAGCCTGGCCTGGGTACTTGGTGTCAAGTCTGAGCTTTCCTTGTACCTGACCTGACAGAACCAGGCCAGGGGCTGGTCCTAATTTCTGTAGAGAGAGAGCCAGAGGCTGCAACTCTGAGCAACATCTCTGCCTTTCAGTGGAGTTCAACAGTATGTCCCTGAAGCCCTGTTGTCAGAAAAAAGGAAATTGCTAATTGGTGTGTGATTGACTCATCCTCCCCACATGTTGTACACACATGTACATACACATACACACATACACATACCTCTAAGCATAGTATTCAGCACTTATTCAGCTAGAATATACTTTGTCCTTTATGTTCTTTTCCATCCCTGACTCCCTGTATCCTCAGGGATCATTCTTAGAAAAATTATCCCAAATTCAGAAATAGTCTAAAAGGATTCTTTCTCCTCAATGCTTGTACCTTCGTTTGACTTTCTATTGACTGGGCTGTCTTATAGTTTTGTTGGAAGGTGATTAACTTGGAGATTTTTGTCATTTGAGATGTAAATAATGAATTCCTGTTAGGTGAAAATGCTAACTACAAAGGTTCTAGCTTAGGGCCCTGTAGGACATCAACCACTTTATATCTAAGGTAGTTATCTTATCCTTGCATTTCCTTATTAAATCTCCTGAACTATCCTGCTTCACAAGTGCAAGGAATTTTTTTTTTATCATCTCACTAGTTGCCTCATTAATTGATGAGTTGAAGTTGAATAAATTTCTGACTTGAGTGTGTATGTATGGGTTTTGTTTTTGTTTGCAGTATTGGGGATTGAACCCAGGGCTTTGCATATGCTAGGCAAGTGCTCTGCCACTGAGCTATATTCACAGACCTTTTTTTTTTTTTTTTTTGTTATTCCATTTTATTTTTAAGAAAGGGTCTTGCTAAATTGTCCAGGATAGCCTCAAACTTGTGATCTCGTGCCTCAGCCTCTTTTTGTTGTTATTGTTCTTTTTAGTATTCATGACAGTAGAATGTATGGCAAATTATACACACATAGAGTAAAACTTATTCTAATTAGGATCCTATTCTTGTGGTTGTACCTGATGCACAGTTACACTGGTAGTGCATCAAATACAAGGCTAGGAAAGTTATGTCCAATTAATTCTACTGTCCTTCCTATTACCTTCCCTGCTCCTTTCCCTTTGTTCCTCTTTATCTAACCCAATGGACTTCTATTCTTCTCTTCCCTACCCTCCCTTGTTGTGGGTTAGCATCCACATATCAGAGAGAACATTTGGCCTTTGGTTTTGGGGGATTGGTTTATTTCACTTAGCATGGTAGTCTCCAGTTCCATCCATTTACCAGCAACTGTCATAATTTCATTCTTCTTTATGGCTGAGTGTGTATATATACCACATTTTCTTTATACATTCATCTGTTAAAGGATACCTACATTTTTTTTAGAGAGAGAGAGAGAGAGAGAGAGAGAGAGAGAATTTTTTTAATATTTATTTTTCAGTTTTCGGCGGACACAACATCTTTGTTTGTATGTGGTGCTGAGGATTGAACCCGGGCTGCACGCATGCCAGGCGAGCGCGCTACCGCTTGAGCCACATCTCCAGCCCCACCTACATTGTTTTCTTAGCTTGGCTATTGTGAGTTGAGCTGCCATAAATATTGATGTGGCTGCATCACTGTATGCTGATTTTAAGTCCTTTGGGTATATACCCAGGAGTGGGATAACTGGGTCAAATGGTGGTTCCATTCTAAGTTTTCTGAAGAATCTCCCTACTGCTTTCCATAGTTGTTGCACCAATTTGCAGTGCCACCAGAAATGTATGAATGTACTTTTCTCCCCACATCCTTGCCAACATTTATTGTTATTTGTATTCTTTATAATTGCCATTCTGACTGGAGTGAGATGAGATCTTAGAGCAGTTTTGATTTACATTTCTCCAATTGCTAGAGATGTTGAACATTTTTTCATATATTTGTTATCTGGGATTATAGGCATGTGCCACTATGTCCAGTTTGTATTTATTTTATATTTGCATTAGGATCATGATTGTACCATTTGAAAATTATAAATTAATTAATACCATTATTCACAAATTCTTTTCCCTTTTGTTTCTTGTTCTTTTAGGACTGTCCTACACCATATAGAGCTAGACTGTCCCATTGTAGTAGCCAGTGGTCACAGATAGCCATTGAGTATTTGCAATTAGCTAATCTGAATTGAGATATGCTATAATATGAAATATATACTGAATTTCAAGTATTTAGTAAGATAAAAGTGTGAAGTATCTCATTGACATTTTTATTGATTTTTTATTTAAATGATAATATAAATGTACCAGACTAAATAAAATATATTAAAAATCCATTGTACTTCTTTTTCTTTTTTAATGGTCTTCTAGAAAATTTAAATTGCATTTGGCTCCTATTTACGGCATATTCTTTTTCTATCAGGCAGTGCTTTAAGCCTTATTATATTTTCTGTCCTAGGAGCATTAGCAACTGAAGTAATTATTTTTATCTTAAAGTTATTTAGAGAATAAATCTTGAATTGTAATATTTCTGATAGCAGAGAGTTTGGGAGAAAAATCAAGCAGGTAATTAACCACACACTGCCAAGGTCAGTCTTATCAGAATGGAAAGCAGATATTTGAAGAAGACTGTTGAGGGATTATTGGGTTAATTTATAGAAAATGCTTAAAATCGTGTCGTTGCTGTCTTTGTTGTTATTATCTGAACTTTTAGGTTTGTGTTGTTTGCCTTTTGGCAGTTTTCAAGCTTGTAAATCAAACTCATGATTCTTCTCTTGCCATATTATGCAAAGTACAATCATTTCTAAGCACTCTGAAGTCACACACCATCTAGCAGGAGTAAAACTGAAGCACATAAATGTGCAGTTGGTAACTCAAGGCCATTTAGAAAACTAAAGTCATCCCTCTGTATCTACAGGTTCCACATCTGTGATTCTACCAACTTCATATGCAAAATATTTGGGAAAAAAATTATATCTGAACACATAGAGACTTTTTTCTTGCCGTTATTCCCTGAACAATACAGTATAACAAGTATGTAAAGAATAGGGGAGGATATTTGTAGGTTATATGCAAATACTATGCCATTTTGTATAAGGGACTTGAACATTTGTGGATTTTAGTATCTGGGAGATTCTGGAACCAATCTTCACTGATACCAGGGGGTGACTGTACAGAGGAAACAAGAAGCACAGACACACACATACTGTGCCTCACATTTGCACTCTTGCTAGAATTGGAAAATTTGCTGGTAAACATAGGGAACTACTATTTATTACTTAGGACAGTCAAACAGTTTTCAAAAGTTATAGGATTAAAAACTGGGGAAATTTAACCTGAAAATCATGTTGGAATCTTGCTACTTTGAGCTTTCAGTTTCCGGGTCATCTGGATTTCAAGAGTAATATTTGATTCGGACTCCAAGAATGTTGAACAAAACAAGCCTTTGGATTCCTAATGTGGCATCTGCCTTCCATCCTTCAATTTCATAGGAGAATCTTTCCCTCAGTGTCTCATGAATAGAGCAGCAGCTGCTGACTTGGGAGCCCTGGAGTGATTGTCTTTCCCTTGGCATAGACACCCCTAAAGACAAGACTACAGAGTTAATAATCAATTTCACTGCCCTGCAGGCTCTCCCCTGCTTACAGCTCATCCCTGAGGGCAGAAGGAAGGGTTGGGCACTCTGGATTCTTTTTATGATCCCTTTTTCCTTGAATAATTCTGAGCTTGGAGGACAGAAGGCAGCAAATTATGTTGGTGAAAGGTCTCAAATGCTGCCTGGGTGTCTCATCACTTAATAAAAATGTCATCTATAAATGCTGGGCAGCTCTGCATCTGTGTCTGCCCTGAGCCCTCCTCCCACTCTGCCGTGACCCAGCCTGAATGCTGACTCAGCCTTTAATCCATATTCTTTTTCCATCTGCAGCCTCTGAATACATTGTTCATGCACCTGTTTGTGGCTGTGGATGAGTTTTCCACTGGTTGTTGCAAAGAGATTATTCGGTGAGTGCATGTGGCCTTCCAGATAAAGAGGCCATGTGGTAGTTTCAAATATTTTTTAAATTATGTGAAATTCTTTGGGGTATTTAAATTGCTTATACTTTAGGGATTGGGGATATATTAAAGCTTTTACTTTTATAGTAGTGATATTTCTGAAAGGAAAATAATCTTAATTCTCTATATTCTTCATTCAGCCCCCATCTTTTACTGCTATCATTTGAGGCAAACAGGTAGCACAGTCATTTAAATAAATGAATTTGAGGGCCAGATTGTGGCTTAGTGGTAGAGCACTTGCCTAGCATGCATGAGGCACTGGGTTCGATCCCTGGCCCCACATAAGAATAAACAAATAAAATAAAGGTATTTTGTCCATCTGCAACTAAAAAAATATTTTTAAAAAAAGAAATGAATTTGAAGTGGTAAGGGAAGAATAGAAAGTCACAAGTTTGGGTGTTTTCAAAAACAGATTTCTCAATCTTATCTTTGGAAATGTTTATTAACATGACAGATTTCAGAAGCAACCTGAATAATAGGGTGCATGGGAAGATGATCAGCAGGGCCATTGAGCCATGGTGATGCATCTCTGACAGCCTGCACAGACCTTCAGAGAGGTTCTCAGCTTTCAAGTCACTTTGTAATGTCACACCAGACCATCCAGATGCCAGGTCAAAGGTTAATATCAGCAGAAATCTGGTGTGCCTCATGGACATGGTGCCCTTTATTCTCTCTACCTCCATGAGACAGACAGAAAAGGGGCCCTTCGGAATCCATGGAAAAAACAGAGAAGAAAAAGAAATTGCCTTTGCAGCAGGGAGCAAAGGAGTCCCTGTGGATTTCTGTATACCTCATTTTTTTCAGTAGTGGCATTTGTCTCCATAAGGTGCCAGCTAATGGGATTGCTTTGCTATTAATACCTGTCCCAACCTCTCCTTCTTCTCCAGGAACGTGTTTAAAGCAGTGCCAGAACTACACTTCATATTTCTCACAGTGCCATCCTACATGAGCCTAGGTAAGGTCCCCCCAACCACCCCCTACTCCCAGCAGCTAACATAGGAAACTCATGCTTGGAATGGTGCTCTTGGGAATGGGAAAGAAGACTGGTCTCTAGGGCCTACGCTTATCAAGCACATACTGATTATAACCATTCAGATACAATTTAATTTTTTTATTTGTCCTAATTATACCTGACATATCATATATAAATGAAATATAATTTCTCATTCTTCTGGTTGTACATGATGTAGAATTACACCAGTAATTTAGTCATATATGTACATAGGGTAAGAATGTCAGATTCATTCTATCCTTCCTATTCTCATACCTGTCCCCTCCCTTCACTCCTTTAACTCTATTCTGCCTTAGACACTTCTCTACCCCATTGTGAATTAGCATCCAAATATGAGAAAAAACATTCAGCTTTTGGTATTGGGGAATTGGCTCATTTCACTTAGCACGATAGTCTCCAGCTCCATCTATTTACTGTCAAATGCCATAATTTCATTCTTTTTTAAGGCTGAGTAATAGTCCATTGTGTATATATACCACATTTTTTAATCCATTCTTCTGTTAAAATGGAAACTGCATTTTGTTCTGAAATGCTTAAATGAAGACACATTTCTTTCTTTCTATGACTTAGGCTCAACTCTAGTAACTGTGTTTCACCAAGTGGGGACTATCCCAAATTTGACGTATGATGAGGACTTCGCAGTACAAATATGCCTTAGGCACAACCATTACCCTCAGCTGCATGTTCGCAAAGCCAGGTACAGTTGGACTAGTGTCTCAAGTAACCTAAGCTTCATGGGGTAGTCACCTTTATAAAAGTCTTTAACAATTTTTACTCTAAGTGATCATAAATCACTTGGATTAAGTTTTGTTTGTTTGATACTCATAAGTGTAATATCCCTTGGATGAAATAATTTGCAGTACTATCTGGTGTTATTCATTTGGTTATGTGTAGCCATAAAGTCATACATTTACTGCCAGGGGATTGTGAAAATTTTACAGTTGTTGTTCATACAGAGATGTAAAATAACTTTCAAATAAAACAAACTTAAAATTGAAGTTGCCTATTTAGTTTTCCCAATAAAATCTACCTGTATTCTGACATTCAGTGAATGAGGATGCTATTGATCCCAAAGAAGAGTTTTCCAAGTTGAAGGTCTTTGCCATCAATGCTCCCCAGGCCATGCCTCAAGAGCAGCAGTCTTAAGGGGATAGCTGTGGCAAATTGCGTTTTTCAAAGACGGACCCACACCATCTCCTGCCCCAGGGTCTGGTCTGATCCCTCAAAGTGAAGAATTGGACAGTGGAGATCAAATTGCAGTGGGCTGAGTAAATGAGGGTAAGGAAATGAAGACAGGAACAACCAGCTACTTTTTAGAGAAGTTTGCTGGAAAGGGAAAGCAGAGGAGGAGGCCAGAGACTTACCTGCAGAGAGTCTGACACTATCATGTTTTTACTATCTGTATAGAGCATTTAATTTGCATTTGGAGAGCCTAAGGGCAATGTATGTTAAAAAAAAAAAAACTCACCATGGAGGAGAGTAACTTCAGATAAAAATTATCCACCTGCTTCTGGACAACAGGGAAGACAGTTCCTCCTAGAAAACCTTTTCTTTACTTTCTTATTATTAATAGCTAAGTACATTATAATCCTCTCCTTATAAAACCCTTTTGATCATGATACAAATACTAATGCAACCAAAGGCATTCTAAAGAAGAGTGAAATAACATTTTAATTGATCCCTGACTCCTTTCAAATCCTTGTTCCTGAATTATGAAGTTTCTCATTAGTGCCAGCAGAGACAAATAGGCCCTCTGCCCTTTAGGAAATTACATTCTTTAAGGAAATTTTATTTTACAAGTATTCACAAGTACACAGTTTCTTATTGTGAGCAAGTTCTGTAAATTAATAACTTAGGATCTTGTAAGTAGTCTAGTAATTGCTATAGTTTTATCTTAATTATTTTAAAATCTCACTTTCCCCCATGCCATGTACTACTTATTCTGGAAGACGAATCAGTAAATGAACTATATTCTCAAATCACAAAACTTGTGACAATAAAGACATTCATTTTTCTATGTGAGTACATAAGTAGTCACACATATGCAAGCATTATCAGCTCTCCATACCTGCAGCTTCAACCTCTGTGTATGAACGTGCGCAAACTTTTTTCCGTCTCATTCCTTAAACAATACAGTATAAGAACTGTTTACATGCTATGAGATGATTCAAAGTATACAGAAGGGTGTACATAGGTTATATGCAAACACTAGGCCATTTTATTTAAAAGACTTGAGTATCTTCAGATTTTGATATTTTATGGGGCAGAGTGTGGAGGTTCTAGAATCAATCTCACATGAATGCCAAAGGATGACTGTATATGTATGCGTGTGTGTGTGTGTGTGTATTTATATTCTCTCTCAGTGTGTGTATATATGTGTATGTGTGTGTGTGTGTGTGTATATATCTTCCTCTCTATGGATAGATACATACGCAGTAATGTGATCATATAATTCTGTTAATGGTATTTTTCACGTAATAAAACATCTCATCGTCTTCATAGATGAATTTTATTATTATTTTTTGGAGGGGTACTGGGGCACCCGACCACTGAGTCACATCCACAGCCCTATTTTTGTATTTTATTTAGAGACAGGGTATCACTGAGTTGCTTAGGGCCTCCCTTTTGCTAAGGCTGGCTTTGAAATCATGATACTTCTGCCTCAGTGTCCCAAACTGCTGGGATTACAGGTGTGTGCCACTGCCCCCTACTGAATTTTATTCTTTTAATGACTGTCTGGCCCATGATGGATTGGGAATTCTGTGGCTGCAATATATTTCATTTTGTTATTCCTTATTTATGGAAATTTAAGTTGTTTTCATCTTAAATAATATCATGTCAAATGACCTTGTACACATATCATCAAGTAGTCAGACTATTTTTTTTCTATAGTATAGGTGCCTAGAAATGGAATTTATGGGTAAGACATACTCAGATATTTGCATAAGTACTAATATTTTTAAAATAAATACTATCAAATTATTAAATCAGAATTTTATGTCAATATACATTCCAGCCTATAGAATTCTGTGTCCTTTCAGCCTCATCAATGCTGTATATTTTTAGTTATTAAAATTGTCTCTAATCTGTTTGACCAAAACAGTATTTTGTTATAAATGGCATTCATTCAAATATATGTGAATTTGGGTGCCATTTTACAGATTTTATTTAAAATGTATAAAATATTAGAATTTAAAGAAGTTTCCAGCTTTGAAATTATCCTGAAAGATGATTTAAATGTGTCTGCAATATAGGCAATTCTTTAGGGGAGGTTGGGGATAATGAATTAGTTATAGGTGTGGGCGTCACATTTCTGAAAGAATCTTATTATTTATGCATTAGGATTTGGCTAATTATTTTCTTGAGAAACACTAAGGTTTAAATAATTTCAATATAGACATGCAGCAAGTATGTATAAAGGAAATACAATTGAACATATGGTTATAATACTATATCTATAGATAGGCAGATATAAACATACATATATACAGAGAGAAAACATGTATATATATATATATTTATATATTTATATATATATACATATACATATAAGTTTTATAATAGAAAACTTTTATATAAATCCACGACTGAAAGTGACAAGTACAGAAGCAGCTCATCTAAAAATAATCTTTTTCTTTGACATCTTTGTTAGTTTGTTCACTGATTGCCCACTTGCCATTCAGGATATAAGTTACAGGAGAAAAGGCGCAAGGTATACTCAGCCCAGTGCCTGGTTCCTATAGGAAGCACTTGGTAACCAATGGTTCTGCTTTGGTTTTCCTCCTTCTCTCGATTCTTTCCACAACCCTTCTTTTCTGCCTTTCTTTCTCTTGAAAACTTAGTGGGATGGACTCTGACCTTATAATGGACAGAGCCTATGAAGCCTGAAAATTAACCTGTATGCTTCAGCCTGAGGTCTTGCTCAGACAACTTCTGATAGTAAATGTTTTGTTTGTCTAGACCACAGAAAATCTGAAAGAAACAAATCGCAAATGGGAAATAGTCTTAATGCAAAGAGGTGACAAGGTACTCTGTAACAAGGCAGTGAACTTTATAAAAAGATAAGTGCATTGTAGTGAATTCAGGTGGAAATTGTGACATTATGTCGGTTCCTTTGCCTGCAGAAAACGGAAAGGTGTGATACATTTTAAAAGTTCTTTATTCAAAATGTTTAAAATAGAGTTCTATATTTGTGAGTATAGAATGTCATCTATCTGAAAACTACTTTTATGTAGACAATCTCACTCCAGCAGTGAAAAAACAAAAGACATTTCTGAACACGAGATGGGTGTGGCCGTGTGCCTCTTAGGTCATTTCTTTTATTTCCCACATGTTTATTTTTGACATCTGTTTCATCAATAGTTACTTGCACTGTTAATTAGTGGTAAAGAACACAATTCTTAAGATACTAAACCAGTGAACGGTTTGGGATGTAATTATCCTTCAGTCTTTTAACTAGCAGCATATTCAGAACCAATGACTTAACGCCATAATCCCATCCTGTTTCTTTGATTTACCCATGTGGAAAATTATGCTGTAATCTGCCCCTCTACTTAGGCTCTAATTAATGAAGTTACTCTTCTGTGTTTTTCATTATATCTGAAATAAAGCCTAGCTGCTTCTGGACACACCTTTACAAACCTACAGCAGGCTTAATTAATCATCAGTGGTGGATCTGAGGTGTTTGAAGGTTTATAAACCATTGGTATGGTCTTTCTGGGGGAAACCTTTTTCAAGTCCTCTTGTGCAGGGTGGGGAGAGATCCAGCCAAGGAAAGGATTATGTCAGTGTTTTAAAATAACTAGAGTTTCTTTTATACAATCAATGCTTTTTTGCTGATAACAATGCTTAACCATATTGGCTCAACAATATTGCTTTATAAAAAATAAAAATAAAAATAGATGAAAGGAAAAACTTATTCTTTTTGAGAAGAGGCTCCCAGCACAAAGAAGTAATAAGTATTTAAGGAGATAGAAATACTAATTACCCTGATTTGATCATTATACATTTTATACATGTATCTAATTATCACACTGTATCCTATAAATATATACAATTATTATGTATCAATTACAAATAAAAGACCTTTAGAAATAAATTTTATTTTATTTTAACCACTGAGCCACATCCCCAGGCCTGTTTTTTTTTTTTTTTTTTTTTGGTTTTTTTTTTACTTTTGAGACAGGGTCTCACTAAGTTGCTTAGGGAAAAATAAATTTTAGAAAATAATAAATGAAAGAAAAAGTAGTTATTTAAAACATAAGGTTGATGTTTTTATAAATAATAATTTTTAATTTCTTAAGGTAATTATTTTTGAAATATTTAACAGTCTCATGCTTTTTAGAAATTCACTTAAATTTGACTTCTGAGCAATTTCACAGGAATGAACGTTTCATTGTTTAAATTACAAATATCCTAATATGTTCAAAAATAAGAGATAAATAAATTGCAGAATTTCAGCAATGATCTTCTTACATCCTGGGAACTGACCCAGCAAATAGTTTGATGAGCAATCCAACTGCAGCAGTGGGGTGCCAAGATCAACTTTTGGATCAGATTCTGGTAGTATAGATGGTATGGGCCTCTAATTGGCTTTGCACGTGCTTTGAAGTCATTCAAAGCACATGGAAGATGTGGTTTTAAAATGCTCCATAGCTTTTAAAACGATGACATTTTCTAAGCCCAGAAGCTAAGTGA